AATAAAATTTATTATTTTCACAACAAATAACACATAAAACAAAACGGAACTCTACGTAACTGTATTATTTCCACACTCCGCAAGGAAACAAGACAAAAATCCTGTAATTCCGAATAGAGAAAATTTCCAGAAATAAATGTAATCAAAAACCTAAGTATCGATATATAAGGCGCACCCCGTTTTTCAGTCCTATTTTAAAGGAAACAAATGCGTCTTATACGCCGGCAAATGCGGTAATTACTTTGCATGATAAAAATATATATACAAAATAAAAACTAGTGACAAAATAAGGATAACCTTTATGACGCTACACACGATATTTTAGCAACAGCGCTCTCATACTTTTTTTCTCTAAATATTGTCAAAATTAGAAGTGTGTGTTCAATGAAGTAGATATATACATAACTAAATGTTGATCCTTACTTACGTATACAGCATTAAATAATGGAAGATACAGATACTACGCTAATGGACATACAAGTAACCATATTCAGCAAATAAGCCAAAAGGAACACAAATATTTCCTATGGGAGCATTTCATCCTTTCGTGCAAGTCAATAAGCCTAGCCTAGTTTAGTTTTATCCCAAATATAATGAGTTTTAGCTTGTTCCTAACATTTTTATCCAAATAAAGTTGAATATATTTCGGTTTGTTTCTGTTAGACCAGGCATTCGCAGGTGGGATTTTGTAGTTTCAGAAGATGAGTGCGGTTAGTCTTTTATTTAGCTGTTAAGTTTTTAATTTTAGCTTATGAATAAAAAGACGGTCCTTTTATTCATGTTTTAGTACTTATCAACGTCTTCTATACTTTTCATTTAATTTATAAAAAACAGTAAATAATCCGAATAAATGTATATGCATTTATCGGGTTTTGGAGAGTAAAAAAGGGATAATCTTCTAGCATTGGTGAAAGGGATGCATGGGGAGAAACAGGTTGATAACCTCTGCATGACACAATACCACTGAATTTGCAAGAGTGAGTTATTTTCTCAATAAAATGTTTTAAATATCTTATTATATAAAAGTGAGAGAAGTATTTTAATGCTTATTTAAAAATTTTTTGTAAGAAAGGTTTTTGTCAAATTTGAGGTAAGTGGAAATTGTAAAGGCATTTACTACACATTTACAATAAGGGTATCATGTGACTTTTTTTTTACCATAGTTTACAAAGAGTACCCAAAGAACGCTTAGAGTGAGCATTTAAATATACAAATAAAATAATTGCTATCCTTTGTGGTTAAAAGTAAAAGATGTTTAGGGCCCCACCAGAGGCAGTTAAAAGTAAAAGACATTTAAATACTGGTAGTTCGACCTGATATGGGTTCGATCCTATGCAAAAAGATTGGCTGCATGGCTGTTTCTCGTGAATTTTCCCATATTTAATTTGTATACGAGCCAGTTTTCCTCAAAAGATCCTACGCGATGGCATTTAGTACCGAAGATATATCTGGTAAGAAATTATAGATATTCCTTCTGTGTGTTCTTGTGATAAAATTATCAGCATATCAAATTTCGTAATCTGAACGAGCAGGTTCTATTCCTTACGAGGGCAGAATGAATTTACCAAGATTCTTCATTCCAATTACTCGCCCTAATGTCATTACGACATAAGTAATCCCGATGTGTTTACGGAAGTATCATACAAGTGAAAATTCCTTGTGTGAATATTTAACATCTGTTAACAACAAAACCATTATATAAGATAGCCATTATATAAAATTCATATAAGTTATATACATAAATGCTTTATAAAATTCCAAAGAAGATTTATTTAGTTTCAACCGACATGTGCAGTACATTCTGCCTTCATTTTCTCGTATAATTTTTTTCTCTGTTTTGCAGCGTTAATATTGTAATAAATATGCTACAAAAATACGTTTTTCTCGCATATTTTCTTACTGAATTTAGTTTTAGCCTTATGTGCCTAACTCACCATCGTAACTGACTTGATAGAATAACTGACCTAAACAAAGTTGATTTTCGTCAATCTTGACAACACTGCTACTCAGATAACAAGGCAATATAAGAATCAACATCAACAAATATGACATTGATTAACTCAATAAAAATGCTTTAGATTTTGAACTGCATGAAAGTAATATTATCAAAAAGAATGAATGCCGCTGTAAATTGAATGGATAATGTTACTAGTGTACATACATGATTCATAAAGTTTTATTTTGCTCAACGAAAGCGTTATTAGTCCAAAAGGGCAATTTGTCTAGAAGGACTATTAATTTCGTTTTGGCATTTTGCGTTGGTTCCCTATAAATGTCGGTTCACTTTTCAAATTGTTGCCACCAAATACTATCGCCCAGTGTTATATTTAAAGAAACTAAATAATGAAGAATCTGCATAAATGTATGTATGTTTCTCGCACTTTGATATAACAACGGTACTTAGAGCCATCAAATTTTTAATAATGTAATCTTCCACTGAATATAGGAATGTGAAAGCCTTAATTTGGAATTTGAAATTTTATTATCGATTTCATATTATGTAACACTTTAACGAATTTTTGATTAACAAATTAAACTATTTAAAAAAGCGAGCAATGGCAACGTAATACGGAGGAAAAAAAAAACAATTTTATATCCAGCGCAAGAGACTCTGTATCGGAAATTCTAAAGATATGCTCACTTTAAATTATTTTGCGATATTGCTCTTGAATTGAATTTTATGGTTTAATGCGGAGAACATGATATTTAATAAATACGGATAACACGCAAAACGTAAAAAATACGCCCAATCTGAATGATTTCAAATTTTCGTTCTGTTTTTTTTTTTCTTTTTTTCTTTTTTACTTCCTTGTACGAAGTAAAAAGGAAGAATTGTAATCGCGAAAAGTGTCAGACAGCATATTTCAACGAAAATATCCATTTTGACCGCTATCGAATGCAATTTAACGATGTTTTTGCGTGATATCTGTACGTAAGGACAGAATAAAATACTCTTTTTCTTCAAAAAATTATAAAACTGCTTTAAATTAATTCTGAAGAGATTTTTCGTGGCGTCTGCACGAACGTATGTACGTACGTATCTCGCATAACTCAAAAACGAGTAGCCTCAGAACGTTGTGAAATTTTGTATATAGGACTGCTATAACATGTAGATGTGTACCTCTTATTTTTTGTTGCAATCGGCCGCACCAAACGTATATAAATATTTTATATATATATATCCACTCTGTTACCCGGCTCAGTGATCTCAGTTCCTTTATTCTTATATGTTTGTAAATTGTACATTTTCTGCTTTAAAAATGATTGAATTATGTTGTTTTTATCTTCCGGTTAAGGATTTCATGCCTTTAGTAAATCTGTGTGCAATATTTTTAGAATTATCAGCAATTTTAAAGTTGTTTAATTGCCGCTAAGCCTTTTTTAATGGCGGCCATTGATGTTTACATTTGAAACAGGAGACTAGTGGATTTGTTGCCAATCTAGAGAAACTTAGCTCCGCAACAACAAAGATAGCGCATTCATTTATTATTGCCAATTAAATCATGCTTAATTCTTTCTGGAATTTTTTCGAGGAAATAAGTGTTTGAGATTTACTTCGCAGGGAAACTGGCTTGTATACACGTTACACATGGGGCAAACCACGAAAACACTCACGCTGCCAGCCCGTTCGCGGGATTCGATCCTCGGACCGAACTACCAGTGTTCAGCGACATTACCGCTCGGCCGCTGGTGGGCCTCTCGCGAAGTGAGAGCTGAATTAATTAAATGAGAAATACTCAATCGTCTGTGAAAAACTGTTACTTTTTTGTGTTGTTTGCTTAATTTCTTTGATACATCATTCTAGCTTTATTATAGTATTTGAATAGAACATGTGGCAACGATTAGATAATTCTATTCTTTAAATGATATAAATATTATGCATTATATGTTATATTATGAACAAAATATATAAGTTAACTGTTATATAATTATTGGATTATATAACAGTTAACTTAGTTTCAGTTATATAATTATATATAAGTTAACTGTTATATAATTATTAATACTTTTAAGTGAATCTAGCGCCAGAGTGTCGCTATGGTAATCGAAGACTAGAGTGCATTTTAAAGAATGCATTTATTCTATTGTTGTTTATGCGCTGTCGGCGAAGTAGATTTAATTTAATCCAATAAGTTTAAATGAAATGCAAGAAAAAATGCGTATAATTTAATATTCCAATACAAGGAAGTCATGTGGTGTACACATCAGATTTTTTCAGTAGGTTAGAACCCTTTCTAAAACAAATAGAATGTGTATATTTTTCATTATATACACCCTAAATAACGAAACAATAAAGTTCTATTTTAATTACAATGATAGACTGCCTATATGAATCAAAAACATAAAGGTTATTATATAGAAAATACAAAAGATATTAAATTATATCAGCTTATATAGCAGACTCTTTAAATTTTCAGTAATTATTTATCAAATGTTCTGCTAAACTGCAGGATCGTATTTTGCATTTTAGCAAATGAAATGTTTTATTGCTTTCTTGAATGTCACAAACCAAATTGAATTTTTTAAATTTAAGTTAGGAAATGAAGTTTTAGTTTGATTCGGTATTCTTTTAATCCTAGAAAATGCAAATGTAGCATTTATATTTGATAGGAATTAAATTACTGCATGAGTCAAATTTACTTTTATCGCAACATTTATATCTGTCCTTCCTTAGATACAAATTAAGCATAGCTTTGTGAAAATTACTCTAATGAGAGAGTGCATAATATCTCTCACAGATATTATATTTCACAACTAATTATATGTATGGACTTACATTATTTAGAATACTGCCAAAGTTAGGGAAGACTTTTAAATGAATAACATTTTAAGGATATCTGTTCTATATTCATTTAAATTCAAATAAATATCGTTCTGATTTCATTATTTTATACAACGCTTTATGAAAAAAAGTTAAACAACTTTTCAATAAGTGAATTGCACTATATCATTGGGTCATTAAAATTTATCTCAGCATATACGCAAAAATTGGCACTCACTTCTTGTAGGTGGAGGACCTTGGATTCTCATCACTATTACGATTATTAAAGCCATAACGACTAAGGCAACTACGACTCCCACTAAAACCCCCACTGCGGGAGACATGACGAAGCTCGTGGGTTGAGTTTTGGCGTCACCAGCGTTTTCCTCTTCATCTGTAGATGGGGCGATAACACCCATGTCTGTTGTGACTTCTCCTGTAATTAAAAAGAAATCATGTTAACAAAATAATGAGATAGATTAAAGCAAATAAATATTATCATGTAAGTGCTTTCAAGTTTAAAGTAGCACATTTTACTTGGATAAATAAGAAATGTTATGTTGAGCTCTGAGATTGCAAGTGCTAGTATAACGAACATACTAAGCAAGAAAATAAATTGATAGATCTGCACTTGCAGAGTTAGCATGGTGACAAGATAGCCCACTGCCATAGCCTTGAGCCGGGCTTCGAATACTACAGGAGGGTTTATCGAAGTGTAATAATTTTGCGGCATGGAGGTACAAAAATACTGTACACCACGAAGCAGGCTTCCGTCCTAGAAATCCATGCGGAATTATGCATGTTCGGTGGAAGAATCTCAGGGTAGGACCGACAGACGTAAATTTATTCGTTGTCACTGAAGAGTTTTATGGACAGGGTAGGTTATTGTTACTTAGTCACCTTGCATAGGAATGCTACAATTATTCGTGGGGGGGGGGGATTACTTTAGACAATAAATACTTTAGACAATAAATTACTTTAGACAATACTTCGTGTTTGAATCACTAAATGAGTCTATAGTCATAGTAAAAGTAGAAGTGGAGAGTCCACACTTCGAGAAAAATACCATAGTGCCTTTGTGGATATTTCCGTGGAATTATTCCTGAGAATAATGCACAATGATCAGACGTTACTAAATCGTTATTCTATTATGCATAGCTATCACATAACGTGGTTACTGCACATAGATTGTACACATTATCAATGACCTTTCCATGGGGATACATGCCACAGTTATTAACAAATTAACATGGATAGCCTCAGTAATACTTTAGACTATAACAGATAGTAGAAGACTTACATTGAATACCTAAGTACCGATACGTTTGAACATAATTGCATGGTGTAAAAGCAGTATATAGTGTAACTATACACACAGTCGGTATACATAGTATAAGACAGTACATAAGACTTAAACCAAGTATCTAAATACTCACTTCCTATAACATAACACGGTTACTGTACATATATTGCATGCATTATCAATGGCCTTTCCATGGGGATACCTGCCACAGTTATTAACACATAAAAATGAGTAGCCTCAGTAATACTTCAGGTTATAACAGAAAATAGAAGACTTAAGCTAAAGTATGAACTTAAGTAACTAAATACAGACATGTTTGAACAGAATTGTACAGTATATGAAAATATATAGTATAGCATTTATAATACTGTCAGGCGAAAGGTTCTCTCGATATGCTGGTATTAGGGGAAAAGAGCAGAAGATTTTCTGATTCATAACTCGTAAAAATTGTGATGGACTCTTTTTCGTGTGTTATATCACTGGCACCCTGTGGTGTAAGCGGAACACCGGTTTTCGGCAGTGAGAAGGCTAAATGACTGATGGCTCTAGCCAAAATCATCATACTACAAAATTTGTTCTTCTCGTTCAAGGCCAACCAGCCTATTCACGTCGTTCTGCCCCAAAGCAAGGTCTCTCCCATTCTGCAAGAAAAGTGATATCATTCAGCCCAGACGTAAGATACGTCACTGTCTCTAGTAGCACTAAAAGAACATAATCTTGTCTGCATATATGATCTTGGGTTTAGCTATCCCCAAAGAATTCATTATTAGCCCAAAGGGCGTTAACCCAGAAGAGCTATAGATTTCGTTTTGGCATTTTGCGTTAAAAACTCTAAATGTTGGTTTAATTTTCAAATTGTTGCTCCCAAATATTACCCCCTGCGTTACATTTAAAGAAATTAAATAATGAAAAATCTGCTTAAATGTATGTATGTTTCTCGCATTGGGATAAAAAAACGGTACCTAGAACCATAAAAGTTTGAAAACGTAATCTTCCATTGCATATGGATATCTAGAATCCCTAATATGCAATTTGAAATTTGTTTTATTGTCGATTTCATCTTTTTTTTAACTCTTGAAAGAGTTTTTGATTAACATACTCAACGATTTCAAAGCGAGCAATGGCAAGACGTACGGAAAAAATAACATTTTTATCTCCCGCACGCGAGACTGTTTATCGGAAATTCTAAAGATAGGCTCATTTAAAAATTATTTTGCTATATTGCTGTTGAATTGAATGTTATGGTTCAAGTGAACAGAACATTTAATAAAGGCAACACACAGAAGGTAAAAAAGACGTCTCTTTGGTGGCGTCATGTAAAATCTGAAATCTTTCGGATTTTTTTAATCGAATATATTCGGACATTTGGAAAAACATCATCACATACCTGCACTATATATTCACCCACATCATGTTTAGATAACTTGTTTACGAAATGAAACATCTGGCTGTGTGCACACATATTAAAAGTACACTATAAATTAGAAGACAATGAATGCTACATGTTTTGTTATTGTTAAACGTCCAAAAAAAGAAAGAAATATGTTGTTGTAAATAATGTGTTTGAAAAATTATTCAGCGTAAATCAATTCCCTTCAGCTAACAGCATCACTTTTCTCTGCTACTTGAAAGCAGTTCCAGCATAGCGAGACGTGTCTTATATGTAAATTATTGTATTACTGAAGGCCCGTTGTATTTCTTAAGGGTTGCTGTAATAAACAAAGAACAATGAAAAACAATTGATAACTCCAGAAGGCCAGGCAATGTTTTGCTTACTGTATTGATAATTGTTCCTTTTTACAGTAATGAATAGTGTGATACGGCGCATTTTAAGTAACCGTTACGATACCTGAGCTCAGCTTGATACTAAAATAATAGGTAAATGTCCGCACGCCTTGTGAAACCCGCAGGTGCTTGTTAATATTTTGGAGAATTTTTATCTGTATTCATGTTCTTTTATAGTAATAAACGATAAAATAGGTAAGTATATACATATATTTCATTTAATGATGCACCTCACGTTTTTGTTTCGATACCTGTAGATTAATTTCAAACAATGTAATCCAAAAAAAAAAAAAAAAAAGCCTAGTTTAAGGATCAACCATTATTACTTGATATATGAAATAAATTTATTGATGAAAAAATCTAATTTTAGAACGAAACCTTTGAGTAATATTTGACTGTCAAGAAAATCATTCTTATATTCTTTTTATAATGTTGACAATGCTTTTTGTCACAACGTTCGAAAAAGTTGCTAGCAGGTGATTAATCTTAAGAAGGTTTTAATTTTGTAAATTATTAGTTTCCTTTTTTATTCTCCTTTCTTTGCTTTTTTAATGAATCGACTTACATTTTTTATACAATTTTTTGTTACACTAAGTAATGGAACATTTTTCAAAATTATTCATCTCTCAGATGAAATGGACTTTTTTTATATTTCGACTTCAAATATTTCTTAAAGTATGTTCCAAAATACATAATTTGTTTTTAAATGTGGATATTTCCATTGATGTATAAATGACCACCTGGGTTTTGGCATATTGCCATTTCTTAAGGAAATATCTTGCGCGATTTTTAGTACCTGCATTTTTATGCTTATGTTAAAGCAATTTTGTATTTCTGTTTCACTGGTGTTTTAAGTTACTTTTATTTATATTTTTTGTATTAGGGTAAATAACATGATTATATTTTAATGTTTTTCCCCAGCAAACTGCGTTTATTTTTCGTAAAAATAAATGCAGAATATCAATTAAGCCATAGCTTCAAAACCTATTTATTAGCATCACATTGAAAGCAGATTTAAAGAGAAATTCAATGCCTTTTTTGTCATTTCCCTTTTTTCTTGAGCTACTGCTGATGCCTTTTAGGTAAATGCAGTGTGTTATTAGATATAGCTTTGAAATAATTAATTTAAAATTATGTTTTCTTCCGAAATTACGCACTAATTTAAAAAAATAGAAATCAAATGTCACTTGAAAACAATTAGATAAATTCAAGCGCAGTAATATAAGGATATAAATATAGTAAAGACTTTAGAGAGGTTGAATGAAAATACTTCATCCACTGTGACATTTCTCATGCAACGTACGCAGCCAGAACCTAAAATTTATGGCTTGATACACATCAAAATGAAACAGAGACAATTTTAATAATTTTTATTTTAATATGATCTCCTTTTATTTCAATATACTTTTCACGTTGTTTGCTGAAAAAACTTATGCCGCTAAAACAATAATTTGAATACTTGTTAATTCCACAAATGCTTTTTTTCAAGCCATCAGCAGCACTGAATCTTCTTCCAGTCAAATTTCAATTTGGAGAATAAATAATAATTACTTGGAGCTAAATTTGGACTGTAAGGGCAGTGATAAAGTTCTTAAACCAACAGTTCTTCCAATTTCTTTAGTAACATCAACTGAATGAATAACAGCGTAAAAGATAAACTCCGTGACTTAGCATTCCACACGTTTTGCTTTTAATTTCGTGGCGTAATTTAATTCAAAGATACAAAAAATATTGGTTCTCATTAAAGGTTGTGTTTCTTTCTGTTAGCCTATCAGAAAAATCTGATGCTGCCAGTACATGACCTTCCACTAATTCCATGTTAAAACATGAAATTTGGGGAACAGCAACAAGCTTTATGTGAACTATCACTTCCGGTTGATCGTTTGTATATAAAATCTAGTTTCATTATGCAATGCTAATTCAAAATATTACTCATATTTTATTACTCTGTTCTTCCATATAAATCACAACATTTTTAAAACTTTATAAATCTTGTGAGAGACTTAAGTGTTCCCATACCTTTTTTAAACATTCGTTATATTATTTATATTTGCCACATTATTTCTTTCAAAACAATAAATAATGAATATAATTTCATTTCCTTTCCCAGTCGTTATTCGCAATAAATATTTGTGAATTTATGGATTTGTGAAAATAAATGAAAGGATAAGAATACGAAACTAAATTCCCCATTGTTCATTTTTTAGGCTTAATTGCAATCGTAAAAATGAAGACTAAACTTCTGGCAATTCTACAGTTGTGATGATGAAAGTAGTACTACATCCCCGTTTATTAACACATTTTCGTTATCAGATTCTTGAATGAATGAGTATAATGTGGCAGTGTGC